ACTAACTACTAAATCCTTTCCGAGCCACTGGGGCTCATAGGGCTGGAGCTTATCTCCAGTTTCTGTAGTGTGAAGCGGATGAGAGTTGTACTCCCCCTGGACGGGACACCAGTCCGTCGCAGGTTAGTCCCAGCAGTTTGCTGGTACCCATTGATACAGGTGGGTGGACTGAAGCAATCCTAAAGTGCCTTGCCCAAGGACACAAGCGAATCTGCACAGCGGAGACTCGAAACCCCGACCTTACAATTGAAAGCCCAAACCTGAACCGCTGCGCCAAACTGCCGCTACTGTAAAAAAGTACCAGTATTCTGAATCTGCTACCCATGAATCCTACCTTCGGGCATTGCCGTGACCTCGTCGTGAACTGCGAGCATGATCTTCGCTTGGTGACTTAAGTAGCCACATCGTTTCTCCTCATGTTTCAAGGCTAGCGCTAGTCTCTTGCACAGGTCATGGTAACAGTGAACTACTGAAACGTCTGCATTTTCCTACATGATAGATAATTATTAATTGTAAAAATCAATGATAATAATGAACAAAATGTTAGCATATTAAAACCCACCTATTTATTTTGATTTTTAATGTTATAAATATTATAATTTCTATACTATTTTCATTTTTTATAGTTCGTTATTATTATCGTTATATTAAAATTAAGGGTGGGAAAGTGTGGCCTGCAAGCCACATGTCGCCAGAAGGCATTTTTTATGCGCCACGCAAAAATAAATTACAAACCTCATATGTGGAGCTTGCTATTCTTGGCTTAAAATGCTGTTAAAACTGAGCATAAACCAGTATAAGAAGTTTATGATTATGAAAGATTTGGTAAGCAAATTCTGCTTGTGGCCCTAAACCACGAAACTCCTTATACCCATAAGGGAATGGATTAGAGGTTCTAGATGATCCTGTGGTTTGGACCCCCACTACCAGACTTGTTTGATCCATGTCGGTAAATTTCTGGAGATACCATCGCAATTACAAGCAAAATGACCAGCTTCAGACTCAAACTAAAACCTTTTGAATGAAAACCAAATGCCTTACCACTGCATCTATAGGCATACTTAATGTACAGTATAGTCAAATGGCGGTTGAGGCAGGTGTCGCAACCTACAGCCATTAGCACTGGTTTGAGTGGCCCGCCTGTCTAGGGTTCGGGTGGCGGAACAAGTCTTCTCGCATAAGGGCTGTAAACGTAGACTCAATGTACACAATTGGCTCCTATGCACTTTAAAGAAACCAGTACATCTTTCAAAACGAGTATGGAGTTACCCCGGTGTACTGGTCCATGTACCCCTGTTGTTCTACGGTTATGGATCCTAAGATTCTTTGCAGGTACCTAGTACCTTCGTAAACAAAAGTAATACTTATGAAATACTTACATGAAGTACAAACACAAGACTAAACATTGTCATCGTCGTTTCTTCTCTTTTACTCGACTTCTGGTATTTCTTTTTAAACAAAGAGAAGATGAAATCATAATAATAAGTTCCCAATAGACACGGAAGTGTGTCTCTACTGCTTGTGCCAAGGTGCCAAAGCATATATCAAGTTTCATAATCCAAAATCAAATCTATGTAGTTGGCTTTCAACATAAAGTAAGTTTTGAACTACTGAATGTTGTTCTAATAGAAATAGCATCACTAACTTCTTGTTATTAATATTCAAAACAATGTAACTTAATTGTAGGACCATATTCATCATCCAATGTCTAATGAAATGTAAATATTCACAGCTTTCTATCCTCTGAATGGCTAGTATTAAAACACACCTAAATAGATCCCTGTCATTTGATTGATGGATTTCATACCATGTGACATTGTTTATTTACCCCATTTAGTCACTCATTATGGAAATTTAGTTCCACCGTGCATTATTATTTCCATCCTTGCATTTACTTTCCACCCGTTTTGTTCTCATTGCACGGGGCCTAGGATACGATATGGCAATCAACCTAATACAATCTTTTGATTGGTTAAAGAGATGCTGGACTGTTCTATTTATAAAATTGGTATATTTTTTCATAAAACATCAAATGACTAGAATTTCCATTCAGAACAATGGCAGATTGTTGTCATAAAATATCAAATGACAAGAATCTATTTTAGGTGTATTATAAAACAAATAATGAATGTTTTATTCCTGCAATGGTTTAGAATATTTTCATGAGTTGAAAGATTGGCCGTTTCATTCAACTCGGCTCCACTTTGTCGAATGGAACAGTAAATTTTTCAATTCATGAAAATATTTTTCCCATCATAAACATTTATAATTTTATATATTATTACACAGCATTGTGCAGGTTCTATAAATTCAATTAACAAATATTAATATATCAATTATTGAATGTTTTCATATTTTCATAATTTATTAACATTTTTGATACAATACCCTTGAATTTTTCAAATCTCGTTCATTGATTCCGGTTGGATGACCGACAAATTTGACATCGTCAACCGTTAATTCAAATTTCTTTCCACACAAACTTGTGTTGCATAAAATTACGGGCAGGATCTTATCAGAGAACCTGTATTAAAAATAAAAATAATTTTTAAAAATAATAACAATAACAATATTTAATAATAATAATAATAATGTTCATTCATTCATTCTTTATTTCACTCATGATAATACATAATAAATAATAATATAATATAATATATAATATGGAGTGGCGAGACCTCAAAAAATGCTTAATGCAAATGAGGCAAAGACAAGCCAAACCAGTCACTCGCCGCAAATTGTGTTTCAGAGAAAATAGCAAAAACATGCTAGAATGTAAATTTTTTTTAAATCTATTTTATTTCACTAAACTAAGGTTTATGTATCTATACATCATGCTGTGCTGTTATTTTTCCCAATTTCAATGTTAAAACAACACTTTTTAATGATTTTATGATAGTTTCTGCATGAGAAATCATAAATTTTGAAGGCTGATTTCTCATATATTGTTATTCAAACAGCTGTACGCTTAAAGGCTTGTAACTTCATAAGCAAATGTCGGATTTGAACGATTTTTTTACCATTTTATAGCTCTTATTTTACTCTTTAACCCTGTATTAATAACTCAAAATCAATTTTTGCGACGAGTGACTGGTTTGGCTTGTCTTTGCCACAAATGAGGCCCGCAAGAAAATACAAATTCTTAACTACAGTACAATTAATCAGATTGCAGGTGTTGTTTGAGAAGGAGTTTCACCGTGTTGAGGTTTGTTGAATCTTTAATTGTGTTGGGGAGAGAGTTCCATAAAATGAGGCCAGAGTAGAAAATTGTGGATTTTCTAAGTTTACTATGGGTAAGTGGAGGATGGAAATGAGAGGACTGTCTTGTAGCGTACCTATGTATTTGGTTATTTTTAGTGAAATTTATTGCAATTATGTTGTTATATGTTATATTTATAGAGCGCATATCGCACTGTGAACTATGCACTTTACAAAAAGAAATAATACAGGCCAACTGAGAAAAAACAAAAAATAATAATAATAATAATAAAGTAATAAAAAAAATTAATAATAATAATAATAATATTAATAACAATAGAATAATAGTAATAATAATTTTAATAAATATTAACACACTTTGCCCCTATGCGCTTTACACAGAAATAATAGAGGCCAACCGAGAAAATAATAATAATAATAATAATAATATATAAAATATTAATAATATTAATTAGATTTAACAAAAAAACTATAACACAATTGAAAGTTTAACAACACTATAATAAAAAATTTAATAAATAAACAATATATAAAATGATAAATACCCATAAAGCTTTCCCAAAACTGTGTAATCATTTTGAGATCTGCCACTAAAATAATCAAGATCATCATCTTCTGTTGGCAGGGCATATGGACTGCTGTGCTTGGCTGCAAACAGAAAAAAAATTCTGTTGATGATTAATTTTAATAAGAATGGTGCAAAAATTGACACTAACACACTTTCTCGCACATACAATACAATAATCATTCAAGGGTGTAAGCTGGGGGTCCCGAACTCCAACTTAGTTCCCCCAACTGCAACTTAGTTCCCCTCAACTGCAACTTTGTTCCCCCCCAACTGCAACTTAATTCCCCCTCCTCCAACTTGGTTATACCAAGTTGGTTAAAACACTAAATGTGGCAAAGACAAGCCAAACCAGTCACTCGTCGCAAATCGTGTTTCAGAGAAAATGGTCAAAACATGCTGGAATGTCAAATTTTTAAAAATCTATTTTATTGCACTAAAATAAACTTTATATATCTACACATCATTCTATGCTGTTATTTTCCCCATTTTGAATGTTAAAACAACACTTTTTAAGAATTTAAAGATAGTTTCTGCATGAGAAATGCCTGAAATCATAAACTTTGAAGGCCGATTTCTCATATATTGTTCTTTAAACAGCTGTGTGGTTAAACGCTTGTAACTTCATAAGGAAATGTCCGATTTGAATGATTTTTTTTTACCATTTTATAGCTATTATTTTACTCTCTAACACTGTATTAATAACTCAAAATCGAATTTTGCGACGAGTGACTGGTTTGGCTTGTCTTTGCTACAAATATGACCACTAATTTTTCAGTTATCTTTTTTAAATAAACTTAAAAAGCATTTTCGAGAGACTTGAACCTTTGAGCAACCCTGGCTAGATTTGGCTGATGTTATTGCACTTTTATTGTTGTTTTTTATTTGTGTGTTTGTCTTGAAATGTCTATTTTAACTTTTATATTCAAAATTCTATATAATCTTGTTATTGATTATTATTATCATTTTTATTATTATTACAAATATAATGTATATTTATATGAAATTTTAATGTTTATATTTACTGTTTTACTATTTTAATTGTGTTTGACCCACTCATCAAAGATCTAAAATCTCTATTTGGAAAGTCAGCCTCCTTTTTGTCTGTCGTTCTTGTATTTTTGATGAGGCGAATAAATGACATGAAATGGAATGGAATAAGAATTTAGTTCAGCTTTCTCAATTTTCGCACCCTGCAGGCTGTTTTGCACCCCCACCCTCCCTGTGGCCAGGCACACCAGTTGAAAAAATCATTTAAAAAAAAATTAACGGATGAATTTATGGATCTGAGGTCGACATACAGAGTGGGACGACTTGGCCGAGCGAATAGCGAAGGCCGTGGAGATGTTGTATTCTTTTAAAAATCATTGACCAATCAACAGCATTCAACACGGCCTAGGCCTAGCCTTGGCGTATTTGTAGTGATCATTTAAGCTTACTATTCACTTAGCATGACAATTAGTCATTTATACAAACCCTTTTCTGTATGTTCCTGACTACTGGTTTCTTGATACGGATACCTAAATAACAGTTTTTCACCCCTAGACCCCGATGAGACCAGAATTAGGCCTATCGGTGTCGATGTTGAGTTCGGCATTGTTGACAAATTTCCCTGTATGTGTATTCGACTAATCTACAGTCTCAAGCGATTACAACCACTACACAACTTAATTGGCCTCTGCACAGTAAAATTTGTAGGGCTCTCTATCGAACACTGCGCACAGCCACGACCCCTGTATTTGTCTATACAGCAGCTAAGGGTTAAACGGAGTTAAAATTTACCCGTCTTTGGTCACCCCAATGACCGGTGAAGAAGAGAAATATCTTTATAACACTACAACATACCCCATTTAATATCATAAAAGAGGTGGCTAGGACACTTTTTGAGTGATATGCAATATGTGCCAAGTATTTTTTTTTTTCAACAATATTTTGTGAAGGTCGTAACTGATCATAGCATGGACCTATATAATTAATCTTATTAATAGGTCCATGATCATAGGATCCTCAATACATATAGCAACGAGGAAAAAAATAGATTAAGTAAATAATTAACAAAATAATATACAAATTATGAAAAAAATTAAATACAAGTTTAAAATAACAATAAGATAAATGAAGCGTAGGCCTATAAGTTTTAAAATAAATTTTAGTGAATTAAATTGACCTAAATGTAATTGTAATTAAAAACAAAGGAAACAGAATAATTAGATAATACATGATATAATCATATAATAACAAAAGTTTGTAATTAATCAGCTAAATCATACCAAGGGTCTGCCACTGCCTGAGAAGAGAGAATTCATGTAATCACAAAAAAGGCGAGACTTTTATAGTGTGTAGCGAACCCGCCACCCGCCAATAGTGATGATTTCGAATAATACAATTTTACTTAACCATTTAGCGCAAAAAAAAATTTTTTGTTACGCCTGCCGCTACCTTAAATCTCCAAAAATATATATATTTCTTCCTATACAAATTTACTCCGTTTGAATGTTTTGCTAAGAACTAAATATATGCTAAGAAAACAAAATTTTATTTTTATTTTTCTGCCCTCCTCTGGCGATCTTTAAAAAATATGTTTGTCAAACAAAGTATAAGAAAAGTCTCGCCTAAAACCAGGGAAAGAGAGAAAAAGACATACTATAGTATAGATCCTGTTTCTTTTATTCAATAAACCATAATAGCAGCCCCAAGCTGAATTGGAGTACGAATTTACAGTTTAGGAACACAATCAAAAGTTCAATTAAAAACCATACTTAAGTACAAAGTCAAATATAATCAAAATATAAAAAGATATAAAAAAAATAAATATAAACATTTACAATAAAATCGGTCGAGAATAGAGAACATCCAAAATATGATTTAAAATAAAAAAAATAAAAAAATACAAATAAAACAATTCAGTCACATTTTCACAATATATAATATATATATATATAAATATATATACAACAAATATATATATATATATATATATATATATATATATATATATATATATATATGTGTGTGTATATATACATACACACACATATACATATTTAAGGAAGTGAGTTAACAAATCCTAAGAAGCTGAAGGAAATTTAAACCCTAAAACCAAGGAAAGAGAGAGAGAGAGAGAGAGAGAGAGAGAGAGAGAGATAGAGAGAGAGAGAGAGAGAGAGAGAGAGAGAGGTGGGGGTTATAATTTAAATGATGAGTAGCCGGTAGAATTTCTCTGATAGCATTTTAAAAGAAGTGAGTTTAACAAAAGAGGGAGAATTAAAGCTGAAGGAAAGTTAAACAGTTTAGGAAGTTGGGAACAATATGGAGATCACTCTAGATTTAGATGTGCGTGCTTGTAAGTACAATGGGTGTGGGATTTGGTTCAGAGGAGAAGAATCATGGAGCTATTAGTTCCAGTTGCGGACCGTCAAGGCAAGCAAGGTAATGACATTTTATGTTTGTACGAACGCACCATTGATATTGAGTGCCACCGATTCAAAGGTGTATGTTCAAATAAATAAAAAATAAAAAAATAAACTGAACAGGGTCAGCCGAAACCATCTCCGTTTGTTACCCTTTGAACTTTTTTTATTTTTTCCTGCGTGGAATTTAACCAGTCGATGTCCATGTTAGATGAATGTAGGTAAGAATGGCCCCGGAAAAAATGGCCCCAGAAAAAATGGCCCCGGAAAAAATGGCCCCGGCAAAAATGACCCCATATGACAGGTAGGTAAAAATGGCCCCAATGAAAAATTCGGTAATAGAAATGATATATATTTTTTTTAATCTTCAAATATTTAAATACTGTATAAGCAAGAATTGAATCAAGAAATAAAAAATGGCCCTCAATTATAAAATTAAAGAAAAAAAAAATAAATAAACAAATGTTGTAAAATACCTTGTAGCAAAAATTTAATTAATAAATCAACATAAAGAATATGCATATTTGAGAACTAAAATAAATTAGCTTTTAGCTCCTATGAGTAGCTCTGGGAGTAGGTCTAAGTATTTTTTTAAATTATTAATATTATTAGATATTATTACTATATTTGCGGCAAATTATTAATATTATTATTATTATTAATGGCTCTGATGGGAGGCTCTAAAACATTGATTCGGCACCCGTTTTGAACGACGAACTTGCAGGGAATGTTATAAACCATTTTCGCGAAATTTGAAATAAAAATTTCCAATAACGTGGCGAATACCAACGATAAGGACTTTTAGAGGCCTGGCATTTCGCGGTACGTATTACTGCTAAGAAGGGCTAATTATTGCTTAGCTCCATTGTGGCTCCACACAGTAGGCCCTATTGATATGTAAATTAATTACTTACTTCCTGTCACTGCTTGGCATTTTTGTTTTTAGTTTTTTCAATTTACTTGATCTTGAGAATGATGGACCCGAAACGTCGATCTTTCTTGTCATTAAATTTTGTTTTGAGATTATGTTCTTAATTGATTTAATAAATAAAAGCCACAAATAATAATTTGATTTACTAAATTTCATTATGTAAAAATAGTTATGCTTTAACATAGATTAAAAATATGTTACGCCTTACTTAT